AAAGGGCCCCTTTTCAGTTTTAAGGATTTGTGGGGAGACTTTTTTTTTTTTTTTTTTAAATTGCTTTCATTTTTTTGTAGCTATAACAAAAATGTCGGACGAGGGAAAATTATTCATCGGAGGTCTGAGCTTCGAGACCAACGAGGACTCTCTGGCTGCGGCTTTCGGCAAATACGGAACCATCGAAAAAGGTAATTAAACCTCTTTACCCCTCTTGAGTATATAGTTTAAAATTACTTCAGACATCAATATTTTACTAAATATGTGGCCTAATCGGAATTTCTCCCTGATTAGTGGACGTGATCAGAGACAAAGAAACCGGAAGATCTCGCGGGTTTGGCTTCGTGAAGTACGACAATGCAGAGGACGCTAAAGACGCACTGGACGCCATGAACGGAAAGGTAAAAATCACGCTACTCAATTTATAATCGAATTAAAAAATATTTATAGTTAATGTAATTGTATTTATACGTTTTTACATTTCCTGTTGTATTGCAGACGCTGGACGGACGTGCTATTCGGGTGGACGAAGCTGGAAAGGGAGGGCGCTCAAGAGGAGGTTTTGGCTCTGGCCCACGAGGAGGCAGATTTAGCGGCTCCAGAGGGAGAGGTGGGCGTGGTTATTCCCGAGGTGCGACGTGGGAATATTTTTAAAAAGTTGAACTTAAAGGTTTATTCTAACACTATCGAAATTAAAACTGCTTTGTTTGTAATAGGTGGATATGGTGGAGACAGAGGGTACGGAGACAGGAGTTATGGTGACAGAAGCTTTGGTGGTGGAGACAGGAGCTTTGGTGGCAGTGGATACAGGAGTGGAGGATATTCCTCAGGTGGCTACAGAGAAAACAGGTAAATAATCGGAGCTTAAAATTGTTTAATGCACTTTATTTTTACTGTATTTTAAATGCAAGTTTCTTGTTTATATAGGGGGCAGGGTGGATATGGTGAGCGTTCAGGATCTGGATCCTACCGCGATGGATACGACAGCTATGGTAAGCATCAATAATATGTATTTCAGGTATTTGGGTGCATTTATGTTGGGGCTGTCTGTACAAAATCTAAAGGAACACTGAAAGCACATCTCAGTAACTGGCATAGTCAAACTGCGCAGCACTCTAATTTTTAAATACCTGCTTTAAGTGGCGGGTTGAGATGCTGTACACTCCAACACTGTAAATTGAGATTTCACAGCCCCAACATGGGAAGCCTATCACCATGTATGCCCCTCAGTTTTGTGCTTAACTTGATGCCTCTTTCCAAACGGTTGCCAGATTTCTTTTGTGCCCTTCTCTGACAAAGAGGCTGGAAACCATTTGAACCACTTAAAGCAAACCCCGAATTTCACGTGTTCTCAAATTGCGAGGAAGGCAAGGACCCCCTTATGCAAAAAGAGGGAGGGTTGTTAGGCGGGTTGAAAGGGGAATATTTGTAAAACTCCAGTGTTCGAACTTGCAGTGTCTTTACCTCTGTGCCCACTTCTTATCCTCAGCTACACATGAGTAAACATCTCCCTGATTCAAGATCTTCACTTGGCTGGCTGTTTTTCAAAGATGCGCTCCTCAAGAAAAATGTCCACGTGTTTGCTGACCTTAGTTCTGTAGTTTTGTTGTAATAGTTCAGCATCTTTAAAAAGAAGAAAAATGTAGCAATGGGTTTTGGTCATTCCTTATAAAACCTGTTACAAATTACAGTTAAAGAATCTTAACCATGCTTAATTGGACTCATTTCTCAAAGATCGTGCAACTAAAAGGCATCTGTAATCTGATACTGTAAAGTCCCATTTTTGGGGATCAAGACAGTTCTCAGTGTGGCTTTTCATTGAACAGCCACTACCATTGCTCTAAACTTTGTCCAGCACTTGAAGTGCTTCCTGATTTGATTCCTTTTCTTATATATTGCAATATCTGGGGCTTGTTTGTGTTCCTTATTTTCCCCCTCAGTCTCTGACTGACCTACCTCCTGCCAGGTTTTAAACTGAGAGGAAAGATATATGCTCATAAACAGACTTTTGGGAGACTTGATGCTAAATTCAAATTAATATTAAAAAAAGAGAAAAAAACCTTAGTTTAACTGAGGCTCCTGTTTGTTCAATTTCCCAAAAGAGTGAATTCCTTTCAGACTGGTGAACTACACATCCGAAGTGGCCGGCTGTTCATGAAGTTGCAAATTGCAGCATGCTACAGTCTGTCCAAGGTATCTTCTGTGCTCTGCTCAACATCTGCATTTTTAATGTGCTGTAAAATGGACTAATCTTGTTTAAAGTGATCGAGAAATGTAACTTTGTTTCCCTAAAGCTTATATATATCTCAAACCGGGAACAGTTTTGTACTTTTTGTTCTTTGTATGATCAACTTTATTTTGTCAGTTTGGCTTCATGGAGCCTATTAAACAAATTGTGGAAAATCATCATGATTGTTGCCTCTTAAAACAACCGCATGGGGACTAAAGCTGAGCGCTGTAGGCTCATTTTAATGTAATGCTGCGTGAGAACTAAATCATCTGCTTGATGCAATCAGATGGTGCCCATCTCTGGACTAAAGTCAACAATTTGGTAGGCTAGTCAAAGTTCTCAAAGCTTAAAAGGGAGGGGAGGGAAGGCTGTTACTGGGTATCTAAAGATCCACACAAGTTTAAAAGGGGGGGGGAGAGCACAGTTGAATCAAGTGAATCCTGTACATGTTAAACGATCCATGAGCCGAATGTTGTACCTACTAAGTGTGCTGATCAAACAAAGTGGCATATGGGGGAAGTTGGTGCCTGGTCATGTTCATGCTTCATTACGTTCAAGAGAGGTCAAGAGCTCCTTCAGTATCCTACAAGTCCTTGGAGAGTGAAGTGTTGCGCCTACCAACAAGTGCTCCTCAGAGATGAAAGCTGCTCTTGCCTAGTCAAATGTGAAGAAAGTAGGCCAGTGCACGTGAGGTAAAAATCTCCTTTTGCTTTGCTCACATCCTTGAAACTAAGTTCTCATTGTTGCCATGAATACCTTCAAGTTAGCTGCTGTTTAGTCCTCTGCTTCAGATGTCTCCTACAAACATCACAAGTCCTCTTACCTGATTCTAAAGTCCATTGGGAGGTGGGGTTTCTGTCTGGGATATTAGTGCTCCACCTTGAGTCCACCAAAAAAATGCATTGGTCCTTTAAGTCGGGTAGTTTTGTGCTCAGTCCACTTTGGTCACTAGTCCACAAATTTGCTCCTGTAATGTCCACAAGCCCCAATTCATGTGTAAGGTGTCTAGACTGCATTCACTTTTCCTTTGTACCTTATGTGGTGAGTCATTAATACTGCATGCAGTTTGACTTCAAGCATCAGTTGGCAGGTTTAATCCACCCATTTCTCCTCCTCTAGACTGAAAACTGACTGGATGCTTCAGTGGGTCTCGTCACAGCTGAAGTAGCTGGATTTTTAGGCTGCAAGATCTCATGCAGTTGCTGTATCAGGTAAGTTGTAAAGCATGTTGTTACTCAAAGCTTTTGGTGGTTTTCAGTTTTTTGTTTTGTTTTTTTGCTCAAAACTGGAATTTTGTCAGGCTAAATAAGATGTTTGTTTCAGGTCCAATGAGCAGTGGGGTGACTGTCAACACGAAGGAATCTCCCAAATTCCTGAAGCACATTTCCTGATGTTACAGTAAATGTCGCAAACTGGGAAAACAGCATTACAGAGCTGCAGTTGATAGACAAACCTGACTATGTAGTTTTGCTTTGGCTTGAAACGTGAATAAAATCTGACACAAAAGAACTTGCTGTGGTGTTTCTTTCTTTGTAAACACATGCCTGAGGATTTGCTTACTTTGAAACTCACATTGGCTTTTTATTTCTAAAGATATAGAGACATGTCAGAATGGTTTAAAGGTAGGAGGGGAAAGTAATGTAGTTAAGGAAATATTGTGTGCTTAAGTTTAATTGTCATCTTAAGGAAGATGCACTAGGGCCAGATATACATTTGTGTTTAAGTATGTAGGGTAATGGGTCATTGGTACAAATTTGTAAATAGCTGGATATGAATAGTGTGTAAAATACTACAATCTAATTACCCAGCTCATTGTCTTTGCAGTAGTCTGGTGTATGTAAGCCAATTTCAATTGGTTAACATCTCACTTGTCAAGCTGTTGTGTTTAGACACACTGATGCTACCAAGCTATTACTTGGTATTATTACATACTTGGTAGAGGTAATAACTAATACTTGGTCTTTGTAACATTTGAAGGATTACATTAGAAGTTTAACGTGATATGAAGTTGAAATATAATCAATGCATCAGATATGGCAAAAGTGTAAGATGCAAATCTTGACTTATGACCCAATGTGTACGTGACAAATGCAGCCGACTGCGCACACTTACACACAGGCACATGAAACAAGTCCAGGAGGTTTGTTTACTATGCAAACATGAAGGCTGCTGGTTTGTCTTGTAAATTAGGACAAACAAGTTTAACAGGATGCACCGCTGTACTTTTTCTGTGGTTTCATAATGGCTTCATCTGAAAAGGTAATCTGACAACTTTGTCTTAATCTTCAGTGTAATTTGATCAGTGAAATAAAAGCTAATTACTACCTCAGTTTGGAAAGCTGATAATCAGGCAGTGGCTCACTTTTGTCAGTGTGCACTGACCTCCACACTGTAGTTCAAACTCATCTTCCTGTACTTGGCACACGTGTGGTGTCACATTTTACAAAGGAAGAGCTTCAGACTAGTAGATTTTGTGCTTGAGCACTGAGTTACATGTACTAAAAATACAAAATAAGGATTCATATTTAAGTATATTAATTCATTATTTAAATAAATATCAAGCATTTGGATGTCACAGCTGGTAGGTGTGTTAGTACTGTGCTAGTTCCTGTAGAAAAATAAACAGTCAACTTCATGAAATAAGAAATAAAGTACACTACATGGCTATAAAATGCAGTGGAGTAGAAGTATGACGATAAATATCTGAAACAGTACTGACATAAGTAGTTTTAGTTTCACCCAAATTAAAGAACTGACACAGAAGCCAAGATCAGGTACAGAAAAACAGACACTTTAATTTGGAACATTTACAAGCTGAAGTGAACGACCACACAGGTCCAGGTGGAGGAGCTCGGGATGCTGGTGGTGTTCACACGTACCACAGGAAGCCGAAACGCTTGTGCAAAAGCTCTTCGCGGGGCCTGAGGTTGAACAGCTCCTCTGACAGAGGGGTGACCCAGCGGTCTGTGTGAAAGACGCTCTCGCCAACCTGCATGGGTTAAAAAGATGCAGTCAGCATCAACACAGGAACGCTGAAGTTCAGCGACAGACCTGAACTAAAATATAGATTCATTTGTTACCCTGTTTACTGAGTCTTATGTATTTTCACTTTGCATTTTTACCCAAACATACTTGGATTTTTGCAGTTTCCTTTATTTATTTTTTCCTTTCAGCTGCAGTAGTACGGGGTTGTTTAAATTGTGTCTCAGGTTAACCTTTGCATCTCAGCAGGCTCACAGCAAGTAAGGTAGGTGGGAAATCTAGATAAGTGTTATGCTTACAAAACAAAGCTGAAAATAATACTGTCGGTCAGTGCGTTTAAGAGGAAAAGTCAATCATCTTTTCTGTGTTGGACTGTACGCACCTATCTCAGCTAATATTTGTACGAAATGCAAATGTTTATAGTATGATTTTTCTTTGGTGTCTGAACCGTTTTAAAAATGAAAACATCAAGTATATTAAAAACTAATGAAAAGGCATCTATTAAATAATGTTGGACAGGTCATGAAAAATTCTTCTCTATAATTGTATCATAAAGATGCTGTATATGAAAAAAAGTAATAAATGACTAAAAAATAATGAATAAGCAGGAGCAACTGATTTTTTTTAAACTTCTTACCTTCCAACCTGGAACGTCCTTCATGATGACTACCTCCTCTTCCAAGTTTTCCCTCAGCATCCGTAAGGTCCTAGCACAGAGACAACATTCAGCTCAGCATTTAAACAGCTGACCTGTGTTTGCAAGCTTAGGCAGTATAAAAGATGGACATAGTTCATGTGTCTGAAAAGGTCAATGGCCTTCAATCTGCATTCTTTCTAATGGACAGCAGAGGGCGACTCCTGTGCTTGAAAAAAAAAACCCAAAGCATTCCCAAATTCCTCTGAGACCCCAGTAAACACTTTCCTGATGTGTTTAGGGACTCAGTTTGTAGTTTGTGTTTGTACTGAACAAACCATTGAGGCCATTTTGTCAATGAAAGTCAATCTGGGAGTCAGGAAGGAGAAACACCTCAGTTTGAGGCTTCATAATAGACAATTACAGACCAACATTTAGGTGATCTAAACGTTGGTTGGCTGCCTATGTCTAACTATTATATACAGTCTATTGTTGTAAACACCATTGAAAGAAAAAAAAAAACCATAGTAAGCATGCACAAAAGTGCTCAGTCACCTTCGGTCATGCTCTGCCTGCAGCAGAGGCATCAGAGCTATCCTGGCTTCCAGCTCTTCAATCTGCAGTCGCCTGCAACACGCAAACACGCACACACAGTTCGAGACTGAGCAGTGCACACAGGTGTGACAGTAAGCAAAACCACATCACAATTCCTTGACATTTCTTACCTCCTCTCTCTGTTCCACTTGAATAGCCTCCAGTACCCAAAGACCATGATGCCAATGCCAATGCCAAACATACTATATCCTGCAGGTTAAAGAATGAATGAAGCAACAGAACATTATTGAGTTTTAATGCACATTTTTAACATCTTTAAGTAGGTTTACATATGTATTAAAGCATTTACTATAATAATAGCTGCACAGGCTTATGCTGTTCTAACGTATTATACAGGAGAACTCATTGAAATATCCATCAGAGAATTTGCTTTTTAACAACATCAGACCCTGTTAGAGGAGCTGACATTCACATACGGTGTCACCTGCGTTCGGCCACAACTTTGGAAATAAATTCCCATCATTACATGTGGAAGATGTGGAAAACCTGAGTACGCTTCATTTTAAAGCAGTTTCACTGTGATATAAAGTCATCAGACTGCTACTGCTGACTGATGCCTCTTTGAGACTCATTTCAGATCTTTCTCGATACTGTCAAGTAAATGGTGCTAAAATTCAGTGTCCTGTACTGCCCTACAACGCCTTATAAAATTACTATAAAATGGATATTACCACATACTTTTTGGTATAGGGAGGAAAAATGTGTGAAAATTTCACAAACCAACTTAATGAGGTTCCATTAAAACATTTTTCCTTCTTTTTTTTTTTCAGATTAACCCATTATTCACATGACGAAACTAATCTGCTGGAGTGCTGGAGTAACAAACAGGAAATAATCTTAATTTAACACTTAACATTAATATGTATAGCATTCTTACTGCAACCACTATCTAGTCATGGAGTTTAACACAGTGTTTATATGCATTTTATACTTTTTACACTTTATATTTTTACTTACCAGCCAAAAGCCAAGCAAGTAAGGTTTTACAACTCAAACGCAGGTGGGACAGTTTAGATAAAAGCGTCTAAAAGTCACTGTTTCTGTAGCTGCTGCTCTCTGAAACTCTTTGCAGTGCTTTTCAGTTGCAGTGTATTCTGATGTGTAGTCTTGTTGGCATTAAGTCTCTTTTTGGGTTCACATTAAAATAACTTTTATTCGTGGTCAGCTTCATTTGAAATCATCTATATAACGTTAGTGTCACTAAGAGAGTTTTGTACCAATTATTGTGCCCCAACGTAAAGAGCTGTGCAAAAGTCTTGAGGCGCGCCTGAGCTCTTTATATTTTCTTCCAAGGAGCCAGCCTTTCTCGTAATTTGCAAAGTAGTCTGACCAATCATTCTCCAGGCTTTCTGAAGGTCTATCCAAGCTTTTCTTTGGACATGGCTGCTTTTTCAATAATTTTCAGTCCTTGTACCTGACCACGGTCAAGGGAATGTTTCTTGTGTTTGTTAAGCCACTTAACACTGGCCTTTGAATAAATCAAAACAGAAAAAAATGCACTTAACTCAAGGGATGCAACGGTGCTGTGTCTGCACATAACAGACAACTTACCAAAGAACACATTTTAAATTGTATCTTTATGCATTTTGTTACTAGCACCCTGTAACAAAAACCAATTGTTCATTTCTATTCTTTTACTTGAATGTACAATAAAACTCCGAAAGACAACACTGTTTGATAAACATCAGATATTTTTGCACCGACAAGTTAATTGTCAAAGAGCTGAAAGCTTGGCATATTGTAGAATGTTGTGCAGTGTGCACTAAAAAACAAAAACAAAAAAATTCAGTAAACTTGATAAGTGGAGGACAACAGAGATGTCAGGTCTACAGCCATATGTAAAACAGGATATAGGCTCTGTCATGTTTTGGAGCTGCATTTCAGCCAGTGGTGTAAAGACCTTGTGAACACAGTAAAGAAGTGTGGTTGGATTCTGACCCATCGCGCAACACAATCTGGTCTTTTAGTATGTGCTGTAAATGCATGCCTGTATAAAAAAAAACAACCCCACAGTAGTGGAACACTATCAGCCATGGACTGGCCTCCCAAAAGCTCAGACCTCAACATTACTGAAGCAGTGTGGGATCATGTTGACTGAGAACAGAACAAAAGGGGACAGAAACACCCAAAGAAGAGCTTTGAATGCCCTTCAAGAAGTCTGAAGAAATATTCCTGAATACCACTTCAGACTACGCTGTCCTAAGAGATCGTCTTAATCAATTAACTTAAACTTAATCAAGTAGTTGATTTTACGGCTTTAACACTGTTAACCAAGCAGCAAACAATAGAACAGCTAGAACAGTTTCCTCAAATAAAACCTAATCCTCCGTTTAACAGTAGGCATTATCACTTTAACTGAACCTGCAAATTAAACGACTCCCTGTGTTAGCTAGTTAGCATGTCGTTCTAAACCTGTCAATAACAATTCACATTAAAATGTTGCTCTGCTGCAAAAACACTTGTACAACTGTTGTCGTGCTGTTAGTCAAGATGTTCCTTTTAATGACAAGGATAAATGTAAGACCCCGCATACACATTTTTATCTTAGCTTGGATCTTTGTATTTATGCTAACGGGTTAGCGTAACCAGCAAATATCACCTAAACTATCCAACATTTAACAACTGCTGAATGAATCCAAATGTCTGGCTACGTGAGCGTGTGGCGTATGTACCCGAAAGTCCTCGTTTCGGTAGATTTCTCTTATAATCAAAGGGAGCATAGCCTCCCGGAGGAGGCATGTCCTGCTTCACCTTGGACCCCGCCATCTTCCTCCAACCTCCTCCAAAACACGCCAGTGACGTCCCTGAAGACACTCTTCTTCGCTGGTAGAGAAAAACTGTAGCAGCGCTCCAGCGCCCCCACATGTTCGGACATATATTATATTATATTATATTATATTATATTATATTATATTATATTATATTATATCCAACTGTAATGTTAACATATATTTTATAAAAATGTTACATAATGTTCATTTTTTTATGTTGATGTGGTAAAGTGATAACTATAATGCAAATAACAGAATAAAAACATAAATATTCTATAACAAAGAAATGCCCTGAATCTGAGTAAAAGTACTTAAAAAGTGTATAGAAGCAAAGATGGATTTCCTAAAAACATCATGTTGCAAAAAATGCCAAAAGAAAAAAGCTTGTTGAAATATCAACAAGCATCATTGTTGCTTGTTGAGATTTCCATTTCATCATGTGATTTCTTGCTGGCTTTGATTTTAGATTCACCTGTTTAATTTTGGACTGAAACACCAGAGGGGCCATTAGCTACGCCTCCCTCGTATCAAGTTTCAGAACTGCCTTAATTCTTCATGGCACAGATTCAACAAGAAGCTGGAAACATTCCTCGGAGATTTTGAGCCATATTGACATGACAGTATAAAATGGAATGTGGTGCGTTTCACCACATCCCAAAGCTGCTCTGTTGGATTGAGATCAGGTGACTGTAAGGCCATTTGAGTACAGATGACCTGAGCTTTGTGACATGATGTGTTACCCTGTTGGAAGCAGCCATCAGAAGGCGGGCACACTGTGGTTTTAAAGGTACGGATATGGTCAACAACAATACTCAGGTAGGCTGTGATGTTTAAATGATGCACAGTTGGTACATTGGAGCATAAAGAGCACAGAGAATACATCCCCCACATCAAGACACCACCATCAGCCTGATCCATAAATTCATGTTGTTTATACCAAGTTCTGACTCCAACATCTTAAGAAATCTTGATTCATCAGCCCAGGCAATATTTTTCCAATCTTCTATTGGCCAATTTTAATGGAGTCATGCAACCTGCAGCCTTAGTTTGCTGTTCTGATCTGACAGGAATAATACCTGATGTGGTCTTCTGCTGCTGTAGCCCGTCTGCTTCAAGGTTGGAGTGGTGTGGTTCACCGATGCTCTTCTGTAGCCCTTTGTTGAAATGAGTGCTTAAAGCTGTCTGGCCATTCTTTAGACTCCATCTGATCTCTAACATCAGAGTATTTTCTTCAACAGAAATGCTGTTCACTGGATCCCAGTAGATTAGAAGTTTGTGAAATATGCCAGCCAGTTTGGCACCAACAACTGTGCTGCATTCAGTCCCTTAAAAAAATAAAATCGCCCTTCTTCCTCATTCTAACGCTCAAATTAAACTTCAGCAGGTCATCCTGACCACATCTACATGCATAGTTGCTACCATGTGAATGAATAGATATTTGTTAACAGCATACGTATGAATTTCGATTCTAGGCCCATAAGAGCAAAAATGTCACAGAGACAGTGATATCCCAAAACAGCAAATGAAAGCAGCAGTTTAAAATGTAATATTTTTTATTATTTATTTCAGGAGCTAGGAAAAAAGTAAACCAAATAAATTTAAACATAACTTTGTACATTGCAATTAAAATGACTGGAAAGCAGAGAAATTATGCATTATGGTGAGGGGCACAAGATAACGATGGTCTTGTGTAATCCAGAGTCTTAATCTTAATTGTGTGATCACACAACTCTTTAACTGTGTAATCCAGGAAGCTGGAAGATGTTTCCTTTAAGGACTGAGTCGAGGCTACATGTAGCCCGTGTCTCACGTGGACAATGGATAAATATCGGAGGCAAGATTTCTGGCTCCAGTGTGGCGAATTCAGCTCCTTCAGAGTTTTGCATTTTCTCAGTGATGATGTAACACTCAAAATAATCTTACAATGTTGACAATATAAAATAAGCAAATTACAGATGGTAATTACAGATGAATTAAGCAATGACACCACGCTTCTTCAGCTAAGGTGCAAAATGGGCTTAAGGATAGGCATGCTGTTAAACAGGAAAAAAAAGAAAGAAAAGAAAAAACAAAGCTAGAATAATCTTCATTTGTGGAAACCACATTATACTGAGTGATCTTAACCATCAGTCCAAGAAAAAAAAAAAAAAAAAAGAAAAAACAAAAACACAAAAATAACTTACGGTAAATACAAAGTAAACTCAAACCTTTAACTACATGGGTGGTGTAATGAAAATTTTACAACTTGGTAATTTTGCTTTTACTTAAAATATATGTGTATTTTGTCGAACGTGAACTCTTGGGTGTGATACAACTATTCAAGTGTCAAAAGGTTGGGTGCGTTTCACCCACATCATGGCAGAAAAGGGCTAACAAGCCTCAAACAGAATGCTTATTTTTATCAAAGGTACTCGCAGCAGACATAACCGTCTATCGTACATCATCATTTGAACGACCCTGTCTGGAGGACAGAGCCCAGAGGAAGCCCTTCAAGTATTTTCTTCTCTGCCCAGTCAAATCAAAATGGTTTCTGCACAATTATCAAATAACGATGAACCCCAAAAGAAGAAAAAAAAAAAAACATTGGAAAATAAGCAAAACTAAAGAATCATACAAAGGTATTAATTAAGGAACGTTTCTTCACTTTGAGAGATTGTAATTGCTTAACAAGTCCTGCGGGGGCGCTGTGGACCGTATTATTGGAGCTGAGGAACTTGGGAAAAAAAACTAGTAAATGAGTAGCAGAGTACGGCTTCGACTATTTCCACGCGTTTGCAGTCTGCGAGATTGACGAGCGAGAGGGGATCATGTCCAGCAGGTACTCCCTCTGGCGAGCGTCCACTGTGGCTGATGTCTTGTGACCCGTCAGGCTGGGGTTCACGTAGGCCATGGTCACTCCTGTGAACATGCAGCAGAGCGGCAGGTCAGGTCAGGGCGTGGAAAAGAACTGCGGCGTTACGTCTAATGATTTCGAAAAACACTGTATGATTGTGTAACACCTGAATGTAAAGCCACCCACGGCTCCATAACGCACGGACAGACACCAAGGAAAAACGAATGAGAGTTATGTGCTAATCTAACACACAGTAGTGAGACCCAGGAAAAAGTATTAAAACCACCAAACTGAAGGATTACAGCAGGAAAACAGATTCATTTCCAGAAGGGGTGGGGGTGGGGTGGGGGGTGCCTTGTCCGAAAACATTTCCTATTCATCATTTTCTTTCTAACGTGTAAGATTACAGTGATCACAATTTTTTTCTCTTTAGAAAGAAGACAAATTAATGATAAAAATAAAAAAAAAAGTTGGATTTGGGGTGTCAAAGGATTGCTTTTGGACCAGACAGGAATTTGACAGAGAGCAGATGTCAGGCGTCAGAGTTGGGCTGGTATTAATGTGAGTCTACCTGTGTTGCTGCTGCTCTGCTTCTTCCATGCAGTGGATGAGGCACTACCTCCGCTGATAATCCTGTGGCCGCGGATTCCACTGCTGCTCACCTTTGAACTCTGCACAGAGCGGTGGGAAACATGGGCGTGCTTACCTGGCCGGCTGACCAAAGCCGCGGCCGCCACTGCGCTCTGCAGCTGGGAGGTGGAGGAAAAGGAGTGGGGGATGCCTCTCACCCCCACTGATGAGACACCGTGGGACAGGTGGCCCTGTGAGCTCTGAGGGAGGAGACACAAAAAGGCTGTTTGAGCTACGGCAGCTTTGACTCTACAGGTGTTCTCTGAAAAAAAGAGAACAAAACCTGATTCCAACCTGCTTGATGGAGTGATGATGAATGAGGTTTCCTCGGCTGGCCTGGTGGTGGTGCTGGAGGGAGGACACTCTGGCCTGAACTTGCTTCAGCTGCTGAGCCACCAGATGCTCTGCCTTCAGTGATGAAGAGGCAGATGAAGCGGATGATGAGGTACTGTGGGAGACTGGTGAAGATGTCTGCTGAATTATACGCTGCTCTATTTCTTGCTCTTGCTGCAGTGCTTTGACAAAGGCGGCTTTCAGCCTATTGGTATGCTCAGCTTTCAAAGCCTTTTTCTGGTTAGATGACATGCAGTCTTCACAGAGCACCGCCCCGCCTTTCGTCTTGTCCTGCCTCCAACGGCAGGTGAAGTCAGTGTTGCACTGGCTGCAGATGAAAGGTTCTCTGATGGTGGGCTTGGGCAGGGCTACACCCGTTTTTCCTGGTTGGAAACAGAGACAGGAAGCCCAGAGGCAATGAGCAAAGACAGAGCAGTGTGGCATCAAATAAGCACTGAAGAAAAACAGACACAAGCAGACAGATATTTAAATCCTGGGTGATAGTGGAGATGTCTTCACTCGGAACAATAGAAACAAAAATAAGCAGGCCAATTAGTAACAGGGGGAGGACAGCAACTAATCGCTATTTTCATTTTCATTACTGAGGAACATGACAGTTATTTTCCTAATTAATCAGTTAATTGCTTGCTTGCCCCAAAATGTCTATCAATATTTCCCAAAGCTGATCGTGATACCACAAAATTGCTGTGTAGCCAGAGATACTCGTTTTACTACCATATAAAATAAAAAGATGTTTGTTTTCTTATTTCGGATTATGTGATTGTTTCAATTGCTTTTAGGCAGATAATATAAGCAAGAAGTATTCTTACATGATGTACATACTGTGAATGCCTGCTTTTGAAACCTTAATAAAAAATATAAATTTAAAAAAAAATAAAAAGAACAAACTGTTAAAACCTAATTGCTGCAAAAGGAGACCGATTAGCAACCCTGATTATGAATGCCTTTAGTGATCACGTCTCATTGTTGTTCTGTAGAACCACAGCTCAGTTCACCTCTATAACAACAAAACAAAGCAAAGCACCAAAAGCTAAAAATCCACACATACCTCTGTGGATGGTATCCAGCAGATTCTGCACCACTTCTTCCAGTCCCACCAGGTAGATGAATTCATTATTGGCTGCAGAGGGCAGGAAGTTGAACTCTGGGGCAGGTGGCTTGGGTGGAGGGATCTCCAAGAGGGTCTTCTCCAGCTGCTTCCGCAGCGCGAGTTTAGCTGCAGCCTGACGGCTTGCCGGAGAGTCATTCAGACCCACCACAGACACACCGCTTCCTAGGGAAGAGCCCTTCAAACTGGATGAAGAGGCCTGCGTAAACAAGCAAAGACAGGAAGAAACACATGGTGTAAATATTCAGCCCCGACCACAATAGTGTCTCAAAGCTCTGTCACAATGTATTTCACATTTGTGCCAATGTCAAATACAACACAATACACAAAATCTGACTCATCTGATGATCTGACTACAAAAATACCTGCTACTTATCAAAGATGCTGACTTCACACACACGCACCTGGTCAGTCAACCTACTTTATTCCCCGGACTTTATCGTTACTCTTTGCCTGTTGGTTCTCCAGAAAAAGTCTGTTATGGGTGACTGTGCCATGTTCTCCTGTAGTCAGAAGTGTCCTGTTTAAGAGGCACCAGCATAACGGCCAACTGTCCTGGCCAGAGGACCCTTCTCTACGATTGGTTAGCCTGGCTCAAAATGAACTCTCCATTGCAGTAACTACACATTCTGAACAGTCTAATCTATGTTTCAAATTCATTGCTTCAGTAGCAAGGCTAAGCTGGTCAAATGAGTGATGAAGCGCATCATCTGCCTGAGCACAGTTTGTGAGCCTGAGCATCAACAGGCTTCAGAGTTTTTATTCGAACATTAATCAATTTCTTCCAAGTTTAATTGAGGACTGGGAGAACTTGCTGTCTGCCACCTAATGCAGCCCTGTGGAAAAATAAGCTGGCAGAACCTCCTTTAGCGGCAATAACATGATGTAATCGTTTTCTGCATGACTTCCTCAGTCTGTCATATTGCTGTGGAGGAATTTTGTCCCACGCTTTCATTTATGCACAGCTCTCTTAAGGTCCCACCGTAGCATTTCACAGTCTGCCTGAGGTCTGGACTTTGACTGGGCCATTGCAACACCCGATTCTTTCCTTTTTCACTCATTCTGTTGTAGATTTGATCATTGTTCTGTTGCATGACACAACTTGAACCAAGCTTTATCTGTCAGATAGACGGCCTCACATTTAGCTCTAGAATACTTTGGTATACAGAAGTGTTCACGCTCCACTCAGTGACCAGGAAACCATCACCCCTCCACCAGCGTGCTTCGCAGTTGGTATGCCGATATGCTGTGTTTGGTTTTCGCTAAATATGGTGAAACATTTCCACTTTGACCTTGTCTGTCCAAAGCACATCATTGTTTTTTGAGGTTTCTGAGCATTGCACAGTCTGACCTTGAATTTGCTGGGACGACCACTCCTGAGTAGATTGTGACATTGTGTGTGTTCACACACACCTAAATGCTCCACACCAGCAAACTGCCAAAACCCGTTTTCATAAAGGTGCTCACGCTTACTGATGATCGATTAACCAAGTGCATCTGATCAGGCTGCTACATGCCTTCTGAATTCCTATTGAAATGGGCAGTGTTCATTTTCACATGACTGTACATCTACAGGCTGACGGTACATCTTAGTCAACCTGTTTCCCCTACAAGTAACAGTTTCCATTAACCGCCCGGCTTCCTATGGACTGGTAGATAAGGGTTCTTATTTGTTTTATTTTCAAAACTAAAATGTGAGCTAACCAACAGTTTAGACTTCACTTTTTGTACATTCTGCATACTTGATTGCACCTCAGCGTTGTAGATAATCAATGAAAGAAGTAGTTATTGAGTGAATCATTCAAGATTTCTGACTGAATTCCCATCAGTTAAATTTAGGATTCTTTGTGATATTAAATGCTGAATGCAACACATACACCAACGTGCAGTGGCTACAGCTTTCTCAGTTATAATCAGGAGCAATTTGAACTCTACACATATCAAATTTAGACAAAGTAACAAAACTTTAACTTCATAGTATAATACATCCTACGCTTCCAGCCTGGAAGAGTGAATCACTTCTCTGCCCACTCTTGTTTTTTTTTTGTTTTTTTACATTGAGGGACCGGTGACATACTAACCAGCGTGCTGCCGACTCTGATGAGGCCTGGTTGGATCATTCCTCTCTGGCCCTGGGCGTCAGAGTTCCGGGGACCCAACAGCAGAGGAGGAGGACCAGACCCCGAGCCTCCAGAGGCAGCCAGCTGTTGCTGCTGCTGCTGGCGGAGAGCCTGAATCTGCTGTGGAGACACAGAGATGGGCTAACCACGACAATGAGACGGGCAACACAGACACAAAGGTAGCGGAGGACGAGGAAAGGACATCAAAAAGCACCAAAGCAAAGAACACACAGAAAGAGAGGGAGGCGCAAAGAGAGAACATAAGTCCTACGTTTAAATATAACCTTTTCCCTATAGTCTGTCTCTTTAAGACAGCACTACCACGAAACACCTTTAGGCTATAATTAACTTGACAAGGATGAGTTTTCCCATGACTCACCTGTGCCCCTCTAACCAGAGGTGGCATGATGATCTGGGAGCCATGTTTAGACGAAATCTGCTGCCCTCCTCTCACCAGGGGTGGAGGGATGACAGTACCCGAACTCCTCCCTGTCAAAATCTGGTTTAAAGAAGAAAAAGTAAAAAAAAAAAAAACACCGTGAGAAGTGGCATCAACTATAGTGCAACTGTGCTTTCAAACAAATAATGTGCATGTGTGATATTAGTGTATTAACCTGTGGAGAGCCTTTACTGCTTGCAATTGTTCCTCGAATTAGAGGAGGAGGAGCAGATGAGCCAGATAAACCTGAGGGCTGAAAAACAACGTACAGAGATATTAAACTGAAACGATGCTTCACTCTGCTGAACAGCACAAGCTTAGATAAACCAAATCGCATCGTCAATCAACATATAAACAGCGGCTGTCCCTGTCAACGACATGAACTGCATGTAACACATGGTTTATCTGCACCATCAAGGCATCACCTGCATTATTCAACAGTTATCATGGCTTTAACCTATATATTTGAATAAAACCTGACCGAGAGTCGTTATCACTTTTTAAAATCGTTTATTTATTTTGTTATGTAATAATTATGAGGCTGTTGTCATGGTTACTGTCAGTTTTACTTAATAGAAGTTGCAAATTAGTGTGGTTTGTTGTGTCATCTTTCTGTAACCAACGTTTTTCATAAATGTATTTAATCACATAGTCTGTACGTAAACAACAGATTCCTACCACAGTGACTTGAGCCGTTGGACAGTGCTCTGCTGTTTCCAGCATTTTGGATTCATCCGATTTCATTTTGGATGGATTTGACACATAAATCAAAGACACTGCACGCTCATGCAGTAGCAACCCTAACGTATACATCACAAAATGAACATTGTGTTCCTCCCCCAGCCCCTCTGCTGGACATTAGAAAGAATGCAGGTTTTAGCCACTTCTGCATTGGCTTCACATTTTCGACCCATCTTTTCTCTGCCTTCTGTGCATCACCTTTGACAAGTTTGACTTTAGTCATTTACAACAAATTATCATCAAAAGAAAAAGAAAATGTGCAGACGACTCGTATAATCTGAAGCTGTAGGTGAGAGATTGTAGGAGAGGCTTTTAATGTTATGGGCCAATTTGTAGCTGCTGCTGCTCCCTTACAAACTCACATTGTGGGTTGATGTCTTTTAGACTTGACTCCTTTTTCTAACCTGATGCGTGTAACACAATACTGAAAATTCAATAAATGTATTAAAATATTGTGAATATAATGAACTAGAGGGCTGATCTCATATGTGTTAGCCAAATGACCGTACATTAAATCAGCTCAACCTAGAAATCATCCAACACTGAACACACCTTTGACCTCCCAACTGGCTCAGTCACATGAGTGACAGGAACCCCCTTGCCTCTGCTGACTGTATTGAATTTTCACACAGGCTACCAATTGCAAGTTGGGGTTATTAAAAGTGCACACCCATGACCGCTTTTGATCGCAAAGTGATTGCACAGGTCACCTGATATGAGGCAAACCTTTCTGCAAACAGTTGCAGTCTAACTCTCAGAGAGTCGAAGGTTGGCAAATAACTGCTGTCTGATTTATACATGCATCAATCTGAACAAGTTTTGTCAATGAGCACACTCAGGGGACTCGACTCAGCTGGTTATATTCTTGTTGAACAGGAAGTCTGCTGAGCACAAATGTTAAAGAGTTAAAGTGAGCTTCTTTTTTTTAATGTAGAGGGCAACAAATGTGATTTTCAATGATTTATCGCTGTTAATTGCTGTATTATCAGAAACAGATATAATTGCCAACATGAACACATTCAAATGCAGTCAGATAGACTGACTGTATTATGGTAACATTTATGGGAGATTTTAGTGACAGCGTTGGGATACTTCACAATCCACAGAAAACTGTGCAGGAACTAGAAGAGAATCACTAAAGATCAATGACCTGTTGGCAGATTTGTAATATTATCCCATCAATATCTATCCCTACACGTGGAAGAGTGCAATGATGTGTTGATGTGGGCGAAAGCTGCTAGTTACCTTCTGCAGAGTGTCCCTCTGAATTTGGCTCTGCCGCAGTTTCTTCAGCAGCACGAGCTTGGCCTCCTCCAGTCTCAGCTCCTCCTTCAGCTGCTTAATGATACGCTCCCTCTCAGCTGGGCTGCTCTTCTACATTCAACAGAGCACAGCGGCACGTTACAAAAAATAAATTAAAAAAAAAAAAAAATGAAATCCCTTCAGGTTACTGAACATCCCCTGATTCCTCTGAGTCCTCAATCCACCTCTAACCACAAAGTGCAACATCTCTGAGGTCCAAACTTGCACCCCCAGTACTAAAATCTATAAAAGCTCACAGCTAAGTGAGTCTCGAGCTCTCTCTTCCAATGCACGATTTCTGACTTTGGTCTCTCACCATGAGCAAGTCCGTGTCCAGCTCTTTAAAGTGGCTGAGCCCGTTCATCGGTGGACTAGGGGAGTCATTATCTGACAAAATGATGACGTCATCATCTTCAGGGGATGGAGGGCGCTTCTCTCTTTTTATACTCCTGGACAAAAATAAATAAATAAATAAATGTTAATAACAGCATTTAAATTGATGTTTCTGTACGGATTACATCCAGTGTGTTCCTTCAGTACTTTGAGGGATGTTATAATCATCCTACTCCACAGCTTGACCATTTCACTTCTTTCTATCCTCTCTCTATTCTAGTCAAAATTCAAAAGATGCATCATTTGAATGTGTTGTGCATGAATGTGTATACTCTTGAAACATCAGCATCCCCAGTGAAAAAAATCACAAATGTGATTTGAGTTTAAAGACAGGATTTAGCTGCGCCGTTCGAGTTCGCAGTGGCAGATCCGGATAGGTTGAGAAGCTTCAGAACGTGTATGGCAGTTTGAAGGAAGATAAAGCACAACTCGACCGCTTCAAGTATTGGCAGCCATTACTAATGCCTGTATTTAAGGAGGTCTGCTCCTCAACCACAAATATAATTTATGACCACAGGTTTATCCTCTTCGCTGTAATCTAACAAGTCCAGACAGCGCTCCGCACAGCTTCTATTCATATCGAAGGTTTACCAGCAACAAGGGGAACAGGCTTAAATGCCAAGGAGGGGCAAGGTGTGACTGACTTAAAGCTCCGGTGAAGGTCTTTAAGTCACAATGAAACGGCTGCTTGAGAGCACGCATTTCCTGTTGAAACAGGATACTGTGGGCAGGCGTTTGAAGCATTTGGAGTTGACCTGCATTCGCGTAAACTCGTCACACAAGGCACGCTAAGCAAATCTTGGAGAATTTTGGGATCAGTCATCACTTTTATCTACAAAACCACATCGTTATGCACATTTTACTCATGGCCTCCCCTCCAAACACTTACAGCTCCTACTGCAAAGTGACTAGTTGAGCTGCAGGCTATATGTGAGAGTAGATGACCTAAATACTTTGACTAGTGGCACTCAAAGACTGAAGGGCAGGAGGAATGCTCCTGTTAAAATAAGACAGGCCTTATGATTGCACAGATTATGCATTTCTGTGAAGCATAAGAATTTGGTAAAGTCAACAAATGACGACACGCGGCCCGTCTCTTCTCCTCGCCGTCTTTTTTTTTTTGTGTCTGTCTGTGTGTTTATTCATGTGTGTATTAGTCTCTCCTGAGGGCTTAGCGCCATCATCACTTCCTGTGGATTAATCACTTCTCTTCCAAAGAAGTCACGTGACCTCAAAGTCATCATCACGTGACACGTTCACTTTTCCTCTCATCTCTCCCCCCCCTCCCCCTCCCCTCACTGTTCCTTCCACTGTGGAAACCATGGCAACAACCGGCTGGAACCAGTTTGTGACACACACGGCTTCATTTTGTGTTCGGGGAGTTTTTAGGGTTCAGGTGGTGGAGAGGGGGGAAAATGGAGGTAGAGCAAAAGTTCAGCATCACCTCTGAGCCACAAACACACACACGCAGCAGGATTACAAAAGTAACTTTGAAACATTTTTAGCCCGTTCATATTCAAACAAGGTGCCATTTGTCCTTTTCTAAAACCCCATAAGTGGGTTTTTAGAACAAAAAGTCTAGACAAGGAGCCGGCAATGCTTCAGAAAAGCCACAAGGCACCTTCACATTATTATTTTTGTGTTTACTGTGAACCGTTTCTCACCCTTTGGTGGTGCTCATGTCCACGGGCTGCTCTCCTGTCTGAACTTCAACCTTAATAGTGGCCTTTACTTCCCCTGCGGCCAGCATGCCGCCGGACGCCTTTGGCTCCGCCTGCCGGACGCGGCTCCTTGTGTCCATTGCCCTTGCTTTGTCATTGCAGTCAGTCCGATTGTCTGAGCCGGGTTCGACCACCTCCTGTCTCTGGGACCAATTCCGATCATCCTTCACCGGCTGGGAGGTCAAGGGTAACACTAAAGATAACGGCAAAGGGCTCTGATCCTGCTCCTGCTCCTTGTCATGCTCTAATCCGGGCCTAGTCCGGCTCTGACCATCCTGTGCCAGAATAAGGTCAGGCTTAGGTTTAGTTGGGGTCTGTGTTGGCGATTCAGACGGGTCCAGTTTAGGTTTTTTGCTTTCATTGTCGGCATCGGAGGTTTCTACAGACTGTGGGGCAGCCTCCCTCTCCAGCGCCCTCTTCTGGCTGCGTGTCTGGCGGACAGCCTCCTCAGACATCCCCTGTAAATAGAAAGAAGAAGAATAACAGTGTTACGTGACGTGTTCAATAGTCAAGCAGGATCCCAAAATGACACGAAAACAAAAAAAAGTTTACATTGAAAATAGGGAGCATAAAAACTCCAGGAAAAGGAAATGTCCATTTTTATTGTATGAAGTTGGAAAAACACCACTTAGGTATATTTAAGATTCTACTCAGTCAAAAAAACAGAACTTTTAAAATCATATTTCCATTTCTAAAAGAACTGAAAGTGAAAGTCCTTGTATTTAATTTACATTACCCATTTATAGTCACATGCTTATGGCCTACATCAGGTTCAACGTAAATATATATATTTATAAAAATAAAAACTTAAAAAAATGTGAATAAACTACCTCAAAGTGTTTTGAGTGGATATGTCTGATGTTGGGTGAGACAAAATTTAAACACCACCCCTCAGCTGCACTTTTCCAGCTCATGGCTGCGTCACATACCACCTTGTTTTCCACTGGACACTCCCTTTTTGCCTTGACTGACTATGATCGTATGATATTAGGCACAGCCGTATTGCCGCCTCATTGGCAGATCTTTATGTGACTTTACACTTGCCAGCCCTTTTTAACTTCTCATTAACACTGTTATCTAATCACTCAACACGGCAGCGACTCAGTTTATTTAGGCATGTACACATGGTCAAGACAATCTGCTGAAGTTCAAACTGAGAATGAGATTGAGAAAGAAAGGGGATTTAAGTAACTTTGAATGTAACGTTGCTGTTGCTCCCACAGGGGTTGGCCTGAGTATTTCAGAAACTGCTGGGATTTTCCTACACAACCATTTCTAGTGTTTACAGAGAATGGTCCGAAAAAGAGAAAATATCCCGTGGGCAGCAGTTCTCGGAGTAAAACGCGTTGTTAATGCCAGAGGTCAGAGGAGAATGGCCAGACTGCTTTGAGCTGACAGGAAAGCAACACTAACTTGTTACAACCAAGGTATGCAGAGGATCTCTGAATGCACAACATATCAAACCTTCGAGCAGATTTGATACAGCAGCAGAAGACCACACCGGGTGAATCTAAGAACAGTAAACTGAGACTTCACACAGGATCACTGAAAGTGCACAACAGGAGGCTGCCTGGTTCTATGAGGCTCGATTTCTGTTTCAGCAATCAGATGGTTGGGTCAGACTAAATAACATGAAAGCATTGAACCATCCTGCCTTATACCACTGATTCACAGTGGTCATAGAGTAATGGTATGGAGGATATTCTCTTGGCACGTTTTGGATCCCACAGTATTAACTGAGCATGGTTTAATTTTATGATCAGTGTACCCTTATACAAATCTCAAATAAAAGCTCAAACTGGTTTCTGACTGGTTAAACATGACAATGAGTTCACTGAACGGGAGGGTCAATTCATGGATGTGCAGCTACAAAAATCTACAGCAACTGTGTGACACATCAGTATGGCCCAAAATCTGAGGAATGTTTCCAAAAGACAGACAGACTACACTAGCAAATTGGATGTATTCTGTCAGTGACTGGTTGTTTTCCATTTCATCTACTCTGCATTTATCCTATTGAGTGTGTAGCGTTTGATGTTTTACAGTGACCCTGATGTGAGCTATAAGGTAAAATATGTCGGCCAATTAATAAAGTGCTGCCGGAACTTTAATTTCTTCTGATCGCACATCCTTAATGTGGTAATCTCAGGCACACAGCTCTGAGTGCAAGTGCAACAGCCTCACCCAGCTGCTCTTCAAACTTCCTGTTAGTGAGGGGCAGCCAATCAGAAGAAAGCTATCTTATAAGGAAAGGTGATAAACCAGCTTATTTCAGACAGTGGATGAATTGAGGGGCTGCACCGAGTAAGACAGATAAAGGTTATGATGAACTGTTAGAAGAAAAATAACAGAGCCCCTTTTATTTAGGCTCTAGCCCAAGTCACATGTCATTCTCACAAGGCTAACACGGTAGGAGAAACCTGCAGGTCTATTACCCAATAATAAATTAAGCCGTCTATTTTACCCCAACTGCATTTGCGATTGTCCTCGTGTTGTTCAATAATGACGCAGACAAGACTGACCTTGAACCAGCTCCAGGGGACATGCTCTAAAAATGGCACCCAGACAAAACATCTTGGATTATCACGGTCACATAGCCAAGATGTTGACTCAAGTATAATTCCAAAACATCCCATTCTCCAAATCTCAGTCTAGACTAAAAGCCAGGAGAAAGGGGGACACTAGGAAAAATATGGGCGTACTCAGAAAGTGCTCAAGTGTTCAGGGCAAAATAGAAAATCAAAAAATGCACTTGAGAGAAGCAGAAAGGTCTTTTGAAAGACTGCAAAGAGAAAAAAAAATGCTGCAGAGAGATAAAACATCTATGACAACATCGTAATCAAATCAGAGTTAAAGGGACTTGGGGTAGAGCGAAAATTCACTGGAGCATGAATTCTGTTCAAATATTCATAACAACTCATGAATCCACATATTTTAGAAATGTACGTATTCACGTGGAGGGATTTTTCATTGGCTGCGAGGAGCTCATGATGCGTATACAACTCTTTCTGAGTGGAGCACCATATCCATTACTGTCCAATATCCCCTGAACACCAGATTCAATCCCCACCAGATGTTGACATGGCAGCAGTAGTGGAGATGAGGACATACAGCGGCTCGCTCTGTCAGGCGGACGAGCATTACAGAGTGCACTTGTGCCCTCGCAGAAGTGCACCAGTACATGGCACATAGTGTCACACATTATCCCTACAGTAGCTGCTCTGAATCACTCAGAGTCGGGTCAGAAACGAGAGCGGACGCACGGGATGACGGCAGATACTCCACATCAGTCAATACATGCTGATGGTTTTGATAATGGCCTATCAAACTGTTTGGCTGTACATCTCTGATGCACTTTTCATATCAGTGGATATTGACCCATTTATCCATAATAGCATCCTGTGCACTAAGAAAAGACTTACAAAAGGGTCAATCATCCCACTGATGACTCTGGATTTGGGCACGTGCCTCTGAGGTGTTTTCTGCCCCATCAAGTACACATGATGCTGTAATATCTAAACACCAATATGCCTAAATATAGGTATAGTGTGAGATTATAAAGACAGAATATGACTCATAATTTCCATTACTAGTGGTGCTGATTATGCCGCGTACTTACATACTGTAGTTTGGTACAAGAATGATGCTGGTGATATGATCACAAAGGATTTACTCAGAAATTTTTATATCCAGAGCAATAGCAAAAAGCCAGGTAAGGCTCGCTATTGTTCACTGTGTACACACTCATTGAATTGGTTATTATTGAATGTGTAAAAAGGCAAATGTTGATCCATATGGCATGCTACACACAGAGAGTAGACAACCTGTGCTCAAAGTTCACAGGATCTCAAACAGACAGCACATTCAGAGATGCACAAAGGATCTTGCTCTCTGCTGGAAGAGCATGAAGAAGCAGCAGTGCACCGCAGTTATGTACTTATGCATATTTATGTCTTTATGTTACAGAATCAAGAGCCAGTCCTCCCAGGACTGTGGAGGCCCTCAGTCTGCCCAGCGACGCGCCACAGGATGCTACGTTCCTTTTTTTGTTTTGTTTTTTTGGAAGGGTGTGGGAAGGAGGAGGGGGGGGGGGGGGGGTTCGCTACAATTAACCCTTACAACCTGGAGTACTTCTCCGTAACACACACACCGTATGCGCTTCCAACCCCTCCTCCCCTTCCTGTTCTCAGAACGGCTATGGCGGCGAGCAATGAGCGCACTTAATGTATCCATCATGCACACATACAAAATGCACGCAGGGTGACAATGCAGCATGCAGAGCAATCACCTGATAGCAGAGAGCTGACTAAGTTTTTATAATACTCTGACATCACTGAGACACACATGACATGACCCTTCCCAGGATTCAGTGGGACACACAAAGCACTTTTCCTGAGAACCGGTTTAAACCGGTTAGCTTGTGTGTGTGTGTGTGTGTGTGTGTGTGTATGACAGAGAGAAGCTGAAGCTGGTTTTAACCCTTCAGGTGCTGGAGCAGGCGCAGGGCTTCCACACTGACGGCCATTATACAGTGTGTGCGTATGTGTGTTTGTGGTGTGGCGGGGGTGGGGTGTTGTGATGACATTATTAATTTCTGGCGCATATAGCTGTGAAATGATGCTGCTGGAAGGAATTAGACATGGGGAACGCCACCCATCCCCGCACCAACCTTACACGGGCACTGACCCCATCTTTGTAATGGGGGATCTTTAATGGCTGGCAGGTTTCACATTTCATCTTCATGGCAGTTTACACACACAATTCCTTCAAACCCTCTTCGCGCGCGCGCGCGCGCACACACACACACACACACACACACACACACACACACACACACACACACACACACACACACACACACACACACACACACACACACACACACACACACACACACACACACACACACACACACACACACACGCAACCAGTGCAAAACCTCTGAAAGCAACCGAAAGCAAAACTGAACTTTACATGTCTCACAAATTCAGGCTATATAGCCAAACTTAACTGCTCACTTTTCACACACACACACACACACACACTAAGAGGAAAAGCTACACTGTCCACTTCAATATTACACTTGTTACAGCAGCAGGCGGAGTGATTAGTGTCATGGTATGATCTGAATCACATTGTATACAACATTATCCTGTTAAATATTCAAATCAGATGGAAATCCTCAAACAGCATTAAACGACACTGCAAAGACTTGACAGCACAGCAAGAGATCGCGCTCATAATTCTCACGGCGGCTGGGCTGACTGGTTGATTGTCACTTCTTTAGTACATTTTCACCAGACCAAAGGTTTACCATCTGCATTTCTTCCCAAAGTAGAAACATTCACTTGATTTCGACCAGAAGCTGCACTGTCCCTTTGGTGTCTGGTGAAAAGAAGTTACATTTTTCTGTCCTTGAATGATAACGCCATTTTTTCCCCCACTAGTACCTACTTGACTCAACTCTACTCGACACTTAGGTGGTAGTACCTGGTACTTTGCTAGTATCTACTTAGCCGGGGTTCTAAGCGAGCTGAAAATGTAATGTCAACAGACTGCATGCCACTGACTGGCCAGAAAATGATGTCATTGGATGAGTCATGAGAGAGACTCCTTTGCAAGAATCAAACTCGTCATTTTTGAACCCCGGATACAAGGAAAAAGACTCGACACTAACCGACACTGTCCACCAACGACGAGGTGCAGACGATGTCCTCCATTGTTGTGTTGTTTTGTGCCGCATACTCACAGTGTGATGGCATTCAATTGCAATGGAAAACGACTGAAACCGATTCGAGTCGAGCAGAGTAGGTGCTAATCTAAAAGAGCCACATGAGCCACCCAACTGAAGCCCATTAGATATTAGACAAAAACATCTGAATGCACACTGTCGTTGCATTACTAAAACTCTTTATCAGTGTTTTTAAAAAAGGGTAACAGCTGTAATTTAATGACATTGAAGAACAAAGTTAATCCAAGATTCTGCAGGTTTTGCAAAATGTAATGTCTTGCAGTTTCGTCCTAAAGCCACAAGTCTGTACTTGTAAAACTAGACTTCAGTTGGTCTTCCAGTTTTACAGGGACACAACAATGTAGGAAAACACGGCATCACTGCTGCTTTCAGAGACACATTTTCCAAAATGATGGCAATTTTGATTTTTTTTCCAATAAAGTTGCCGTGTGCACACTGTGCTTTCCAACATTTAGTTGTGTTTTGGAGGTTTCCATGTGCACACTACAAGAATGCCCACAAGACTGGTCCTCTAACAAGTCCTGCCCATGTCACTATATTGTTTAAGAAGTGACCATTAATGAGAATTGACGCGGCCCATACATCCGTGTAAGACGCCTGACCAACAGTAATACGAACGGCACATATGCAAGTTGACTCAGTGTCCAGAAAGTTGCCAATCCAACTCTGGTCAGCTGTCTCAAATGCCTGATATACATTTGAATCCTTTTTGTGACATTTCTCCAATCAAACCCAATCATCTCATTAACAACTGGAGTGTATTTAAATCACAGTGATCACTGCCACATTATCAAGGTGCAAAGTGCTACTTTAATCTAGCATCAGGTTCCTACCACTATCAGGGTTTTGTCTTCTCTGTCTTTTTCTCCTGCTATGAGGCAGTTATTTATCACATTGATCCTGTCAGCTATCAGTCAATCATCTTCACTCACACCAGCAGCCTCGCTCTCAATTATCACTGATGTCCACCTTTACATGCAGTATGTGTTCAGCACTTTATTTACCCACGAGAGACCTTTTACCCTGTGAACACATATTTCTACATCACACGGGGGCTTCAGGAAACCGTGCAACTATGCGGCCACTCTACCTTGGAAAACTGCTGAACCAGCAAAGTATTCGTTTCCATTACCTGGTTGCATCTGTCAGAATAACAAATGATAGCAATGATAGTGTCCGTGCACTAACTAAAAAGCAAAACCTTCGCGGCCCCACTCACAATAGAAGAATGTCATCGGAGGTGTATGCTTAAATAAGATGTTGCTTTGGAGCTAGTTATGGCCAAAGCTCACTTTTGTGGGTCACTGACTTGCTCAGTTAAATAACTTCAGATCTTGAGAGCTCAGAGCTTCACACAGCAGCATCTACACGAAACGAACTGAAAAGGCAATTAGGGAGCAACTTGCTCCACACGTATTTGATGACGTCTCTGATGTTTGACCAAACAGGTCGCCCTGTGACCCCCAGTAGTTATGTGGAGCAGCTCAAAATGTGGCTAGCAGATGACCCTTTATAGAACAGTAGCTGACTGCACAACAGCCCTGAACCAGCCTTGTGTGTCTGTGTGTGTGTGAGAGACATCGCTGGAACAGTGCTTTCTGGAATGGCTGAAAATTCATGCGCTGTTTCTGACTCACTCAGTCTTGTCATTTGAATACAAACGACACAATCACTCTGGGGTGGATAGTACTACTACTGCATCACGCTGCAGATGCACAGTTTCTACACAGGAAGGACAGGTAGCTCAACAGCCAAAGCGCTCCCCTCTCCTCTGACCCCCCCCTTCCCTTCACTAAAGGCAACCTGCACACTGTTGACATGTAAATAATGCTTTACAGGGCCTTTGTTCACACAAACAAGCGAGGGTTCATTCCAGATCACCACAAAGAGGCAATAAAAGTCTCCTAAAAGCAGCAGCTCGCTTTTGCAACAATGCCATCCCCAGCTTACATGGCATGCATGGGACTTTTAAGTGGCTGCATTGTGTTGCAATGAGAACTAACAGAAACTGATAGGAATCGGACAGAAAACCTAGATTTGTTTTTATTTTATTTTTTATAGCTGTCTTAGTCTTACAATAGTAAGACTTTTAACCACATATTTGTAGATTTTTGGATCATTTTCACAAGCCGTCTTAATTTTATAATAATTATTTTTTAATGAATAAAAGACGATTATGTAGCTTAACAAGAAGAACTTCACTGCAGTAACTCTGATTGTGGCTCACACTTTCAGGCATTAATGCTACTTGGAAAGCAAGTTGATACAAGTCAGCAGACATTAGTCAGCTATGTCCTCTGCAGGTGACGGTATGCAATAAGACGCTGAAAATCAATCAACTGCAAAACTAATTAAGTAATTAACCAATTAAAGGCTACACGATCACGACTCAGCAAGAGTAACCAGTGCCGTCACAACACGGCGTCAGTCCGCGTGTGGCTCGCTGCACACACCATGAGCAACGCCGGCTTCCGTCACGTTCAGCCATTAGATATCCCCACGTTTTAAATCCACCTCAGCGCGTCCGCATGAACGGACGGCACAAATTTAGCGGCGAACTGGTGTGACGGCAGAAATCCTGAGCCCACAGCTTTGTCTCGAAGCGCTGCAAAAACTCGTGCTGTGGAAATGTGTGTGCGTGCGTGCTCCTGTCTGGCTGAGAGGAAGAGACAGAGAGGGGAGTGTGTGCGGTGTGTGTGAGAGTGTGTGTGTGTGTGTGTTCAGCTTTAAGAGGAGGAAGACTACGGTTGTCACAGAGAGAAGTAGGAAGATTAGCTACCAGATAGCAGAACCAATACTGGTGCCACGGGGCTTAAAGCGGGCAGCGGCGTCCACCATTAACGTTTCCAGCCGCCAGTACACAGTCCAAAAAACCAAACTCAGCCCTTTAAAAACTAAACCCAGCCCACACTTACATGTGCAACTAGCCGGCTTTTTTATTATTGACACCGCCTCGGAGGAGGTGTGCGTGTTATTAGTTAGCGAGCTAACATTAGCTACATCGCACAAACAAAAACACGAAGCCACTTTTAGCTCGGATAAAGGCACTCGGTGTGTGTGACCACCAGCGGCTGCCGGACACTTTAAGCCAAACTACTGAAAGTCCTCCGAGCCGGGGCAAGCCGCTCGTCAACATGACCCCCACACACAACCAGGACCGAACCCGAATCGTTGACCTGGCTCGCACCCCCGATGCGGGACAGCCGTCGAGCTCAAAAAGGACCCCCAAACTTTCGCGATACTGCCCTAAAAGTGCGGCTTCAGGAGGCTCACCGGGACGGTTTACCTGTCTGTCCCCTCCCGAGGAAAAACCTCCGAGTCGGAACTCATAAATTTCATCGACCGGCCCACGGACTGAGCCGCCGCCGCCGACGACCGTCGAGCCGCTGGCGATGTAACGTTGTAATCCTTACCTCGTTAAACGACTTCTACCGCACCAAATCAAGTCCAGCCATCACATTTACTCGCCGGTGCTCCTGAGGAAACATTAAATAAAAGAAATTTTGGCTGAGCGAGCCCCCCCTCTTCTCCTCCCCAGTGCTCAACCTTTGGCTCTGCGGAGAAGTGTTACTTTTCAACAGCCCATCAGCTTCTTTATCGTCACAGATAGGTGGAGGAAAACCTGGCTCCTCTCGACGAGTCCGAATAAAAGGCTCCTCTCGATCCCCTCACTAAAAAAACTTCAGCTTCACATAAGTCAACTTACTCGGTAGCTTTGTCTCCCGTTCTTCGCCGATGGTCGACCAAGGAATGTTTAATCTGCAGTTAACCTCGATAAATCGTTGCTTTTTTTTGAAATCCAGGGGATATCCTCTTTTTTCGGCCCTCCCCGCTGCCGCGTCTGTTGCCAAATAATGCGCCTCAACACACATGGAGCCGCTGCGTCCTCTTAGTGGGCATGCGCACCTCGCCATACCAGGGCGACCGGATCACATCATGTAAGTCACTGACCACGGAGGGCCAAAGCAGGACGACAATGTCAGGGCCCCCCGGGGTCCCCGGAGTGACCCGTGAGTGTACCAGCAAGTGTACAGATCCCCTCCAATACACACTCACACACGCACACACAGTTACAGTACTGACCCATGAATATGTAAAACACCACATATTTCATCCCAAACACTCACTAGCATCCTCTTTGAATCACCACAGCTTCTACGGTGGCTCTAACTCCAAGTCAGGACTCAACTCACAGATGCCAGAGTGGCTTTATTGCCAGCCTTATGAGCACGGTGACACAAGTAACGCTTCAAACTTAGCATGTGGACAAATAATCAATTTGCACACAAAACAAAGCGGACAGCAGCTGCAAGAGCGAGGAGACAATCCGCTCAACTGCACCCGAGCCCGGACCCTTAAAGGTCTCCAAAGTGCAAGCAAATGCTGATTTATTTCTACTTAAAGTACATTATGAGCTTAATGGGGGTGGTCCTGTTTTATTTCATAATGTTGAATCTGTGCCTGGCAGAGGCGAATGTGACTAAATTGATTTATCAAACCCTTATTTATTAATTTTTTATTTTTTTTTTGCTATGTTGTGCTGATGTAGTCCATATAGACACGTATTTAATCACGTTAGTGGTTCATGTTGTCTTTACATGCCTGATTAAAGCTCAGATTGTTCACATTCATACAGTCAATGAGTGATGCATAGTAAACATGCAACCCAGCAGTTTAATGTTTGCATTGTACATGATGGTTTGCAGGGTTTAATGGCGGCGAGGGCAGCTGCAACCCCCCCAGACTTAGATAGATGTCATGTGGGGAGTAAATATACATATAAATACTCCATAAACACATTGTCTGCTGAGCGCAGTCTGTGATCTTCCACAAGCAAAGTCAGCGCCATGTTTACCTTCAGTGTCTCTACAGCAGTAGTGCATCAGCGTCACATCCTCAGCATCGTGTAATTATCCGGCCTCACATTTGTCTCCCTGACCTCAAATTATGATCTAAGGTAACCATCCTCACTTATCTCCTGATTCAGAGTCACTGTGTGCAGCAGCATGTGATGCAACTCAGAATAGATCCAAGTCCTGAACCCAAACATTAAGGCTATTTGTGTCTCTCTTTACAGTGAAGAAGGTGTGTGTGTGGTGGGGGGGGCACAGAGGAGGTTTGCTTTAAAGAGCGGTCAGCCAGCCCTGCAGTTAGAATCAGATCCAAACATGCAAGTCCAGAGCACTCTCAGCTGGGTTATACTATGCCAGTGACAGAGTCCCTTCTGTAAAAGCTCCAGCTGGCGTGCTCTTTCATGACAAGACCTGCATCGCTTCAAAGCATCCCTGTGAACTGAACTCATCCTCATTCGTCCACTACCATGCATATAAATGGACATCCATATGTAAACGTGTGTGTGCCTGGAATACAGCGATCTAAGTACGACAGAAGTCCATAAAGACTGAGCGGGAGCGGGAGTGCTAGCCTCCAGGTGGGTGCAGAGGGGTGTGGTTAGAAGTGCTTTGTCAGCCTCACCCTCCCATTCTTTAAATGACAACAAAAAGAGCTCTCTCTCTAGATGTTGCTGTGTCATCGGGTCTGATTGTTTCTGTCCCCTCATCCCACTGTTCCATCTCCTGAGGCTACAGATTGTCTCGTGTAAAGCAATCACATCTGTAGCAAGGGAGCCATCTTCACATAATCACCCAGCACAAAGAAAAAAAATCAAATTAAGATGAAGGGGGGGGGGAGGCGGTCTTGAGTTTACAGGTTGTGATGAATCTTTCTGTAAATATTGCTCCTCCTCCTCCAGCAGACCCATAGAGAAGAACTGCGTTATCCCAGCTCTATTAAAAAACAATCAGGGCTGTGAGTTGCACTTGAGAACACTGAAGTCATCTCTTCTGTGTTATTTCTGGTCACTTTCTGCAACCCCTGGGGGAAGTTTTTCCAAGCCACAAGTCAAAGCACTTTGAATGAAAAGACTTCAAAGCGGAGCGGTCCACCTCTGGAAGAGGTCTACAAGGTGGAAGCCTTGCCAGACTTTTTGTTTTTGTTTTTTTAGGATACATAAACTGAAGATATTAGATGTCTGCTATTGACATTTAGTGAACATTTGCTTTTAGGATATAAAATACAGAAAATACAGTTCACTTGGGACAGGCTTGGACTGACTGACTGATTTCATCAAACAAATCAGTACATTTATGTTAATGACAACGTTGTATCCCGGTAGATATATGAGTGATTCACTACCCCTCCAACAGGAGGGCGTTATGACAATAAATGAGTGAAATCTTGGAGACTTTGGGTGTCTTTGGGTTTTATTCTCACATTGTGTGGACAGTGTTACACACACACACACACACACACACACACACACACACACACACACACACACACACACACACTAATTGGCTGATTCATCATTTAATCAAAGTGGATAATTAACCAAACGAACAACCTTGAAGTGAGTACTATTGACAAAGTGTGAAGCCAGAGACTTAATAAGGCTTATTGGGTTACATACATGCTTGTCATGTGATCTATGTTAGAAGTGTAAATAGCTTGTTTAAATAGGCTGGACCTGTTAAGTAACAAAGTAGCTCATAAAGATTATTAAACCAAGCAGATTTTATTCTCACACACACACACACACACACACACACACACACACACACACACACACACACATATTTATATATATATATATATATATAATTGATATGCTAGTAGGAATGGTGTTTATTAAGGTCAGGATTGTACACTCTGCAAGGTTTTACAGGTCCAGTCCAGGTGGAAAGGGTTCAGCTCAGAAATCATAGTGAGGCGAGGCCAGCCTGCAGCTCCTCTCTCCGTGTGGAGCAAGCCTAATGGCCGCCCGTTACGACATGACAGCTTCAACTTAATCCTCATTAAGCACTGTAACAATGCAGGAAGTAGCAGCAGCAGTCACGATTAGACGGGCTCACTATTTGGCAGGAAATGGCTCCTTTCAGCAGCTACGTCCAAGACACCTAGAGCGTCCCAAAAGTTTTCACTTCTCACTGTAACCTCCTCCTCCTTCGGTGGAGACAGTCACCCGGCGGCATCGGTGCACGAAGGAATAAAGGAGGAGAGAGGGGGTGGGTGTAGGTGTACTGGGATCAGATTGACTAGAAATCAGGTATTGAGAAAAGATGAGCTTTTGTAAGGGGGTCTCCGATGAATGCCGGTATCTGCGTCAGGCTGCCTAACCTCATGTTCGTGGGTGGAAATTTCGTGCTTTTTCTGAACGCGGACAAAGGCAACTGCGCATCAAGTTAACACGCATGCACACATTTAGCGAACAGAAGGAGTTATTTGATCATTTTCACATTAAACAAGTTATAAATTTGAAGTCAGGGCGCAGATGTTTGCTGTTACTGTGAATTCATTTGTAAAAGCTTTGAAGGATTCATGATTCCCACCCTGCTGGCCTTTCTCCAACTTGCGTAAAAATCAATTTAAGCGTCTTTAAAGAGGAAAATGAGTCTACGGGCGTGCCGATCTGACATAACCACTTATAAGAAAGGGATCTATTAAACCAACTCAGCCTGACACCAATTAAGTGTTCATTCAATGTTTTAGGGGTTTCATTGGTGCTATAGGGTCCTCACCAGTTTACATTGTAAACTGCGCTGATGTTGTACCATCTTTCTAACGTGTGAATGATTACTGTCTGTTCTCTAATCAGATTACGCAGATGAAGTTTGGCGTAATCACGGTGATAAAAATGTCATGGAGTCTCCACCGCGCGAGCGCATGTGTGTGTCTGTCTCCCTCTGTGGCAGGACTCTGCAGGCAGGCTGCTCACTGAACAGTGAAACCTTGTCTCCCTCTGCCCCCGGTGTGCCTTCATGTCCTACCTCACATGCATGCCTTACCTCAGCAGAGAAGACAGCTGGCTGATTTTCAAAATAACTGCTCCAAATTCATCATCCAGAGTGAATGATGGGCTGTAGGTGTAAAGTGGTGGACGTGTAGCTTTTTAATTTTGTGTACTGAGGTTTGAGAATATGTTGTGGCACACATTTTCACTTTTCACATCTTCTGCAACTCATTCACCAAAATTAAGAGGTTTTAAAAGTGGACCCAGCTTTCACCACACCTGAAACACGAGACCTTTGTTGGCTTTTTGTCTGAGCAGGTGATGGTCTTCACTTCCCTTGTGGTCCTGATGTCATTCACACTTTTCATGCGCTGCAAAGATATTATTAACACATACAGCGGTTATGTACAGCAGTAGGCTTAATGTGAAGTTACTATTTTCTATTCACTGTTCTCACTCCTACATAAGGATGCATATACTGTAGTTTTTCACACCATAACCTTTTCTCCTTAAATTAATCAAATGTAAGATTCATGTCTGTCTTTTAAGCATGTCTTAACCTCCAGGTCACCTGTCACCCATCATGGTTAGGTTTATTGAACCTACTAAAGAAGCAAACTAGAAGATAGTACCTATTAAATTTATCTTCATACAGTGGGGTTGCAATTTTTCTATTAAAAGTTTTTCAGTTTGGGTGATTAAAACAGATAAATTCTATTAAAAAATAAAACTATCCCAGTCTTTAGATGGTCAACCGGCTCCAGAAGATGGAAAAACTTGTCATTTCCACACACACAAGTAAAAAAAAAGAAGAACAAATCCAAGTTGAATCATAGAGAAATAAACTCCAGCATGGTGGCTTTAACAAACTCTTCTGGTTGATTTTCACTCATCCC